AGGCACTTGACTGCTAACCAGAAGGCTGGTGGTTCAAACCCACCAGCCACTCCTCGGAAGGAAGGTTGGGCAATCTACTTCCGTAGTGGTACTGCCTCGGAAACCCAAGGAGGGGTCGCTATGAGTCGAATCCGACTCCATGGCAATGAGTTTGGTTTTTTGGTTTTTTTCACTATAAATCATTATGTTCTCTGTTAGGTCCAAAAAATACCTACTTTCACACAGTGTTGTTTATACTGTTCCAACTTGAAGGTAATAAAACTTCATTCCTTAAACATTTGCTACTTAGACATTATACTCATTTAAAATTGTTCTTCCTTTCTAGTTTAAATGAGAAGTTGATTTGTGTTACCGTTTATAGAGTACCTAATTTGTTCCCCCTTCAATTTGTATTTTAGGCTTTTTTCAAAGACCCAAATGTTACTTCCAATTTGAAATTACTTTCAGATTCTTCTGGACAATGGATTACATTAGGTAAATAAAACTTCCCTTTTTTCAGGTGACTGTTTTACTATTATAACATATTTCCATCTCAAGAATTTTACTTATTAAAATGCAAATTATGAAACATAACTTATCTATTTGTATCCTCAAGATCAGGTATGATCAGCTGTGCCATGCCTTCCCTGCACCCCTTTCTGGAATTCACTGACAGTATCTTGGCTTAAGAACCCTGATGGCGCAGTGGTAAAGAACTCAACTGCTAACCAAAAGGTTGGTGGTTGGAACCCACCAGGTGCTCTGTAGGAGAAAGATGTGGCAGTCTACTTCCATAAAGATTACAGCCTTGGAAACCCTATGGGGCAGTTCTGCTCTGTCCTTAATGGTCATTATGAGTCAGAATCGACTGAACAGCAGTGGGTTCGGTTTTGCTAGCCTGGCTTTGCACACAAGAGCAATTTTTCTGTCTTTTTTATTCATTCTGAAAATACCAGGCACCTTCTATATACTGTGTTTGATGCCAGGAACATTAAGATGAATAAGAGAAAGCGTGTACTCAAGGAATTCATAAAATATGAAAAAATTTGTGTAACAATGTATCACAGCTTCTACCACAGAAGTGGGAACAAGAGGAGCTTGAGTGGTCAGTTCTACCCAGGGGAAAGAATCAGGGAAGATTCCACTGATACAGGGATGCTTGAGGTAAATCTCAATTGGGACATGGCATGGATTGCTGATAAAGCAGTAGCCATGGAACATTTTTTAAACAATTGTATATTACTGTTAGATTGGTAGAGACAGGTATTGATTTGGGTGAAGAGAAGGGCAGTGTACCAAATGTGAGTGATCAACACAGTGGCATTGTTTGAGAGGCGGGGCAAGATGGCGGACTAGGCAGAAGGATTGCACAGACCCTCTTCAACAAAGAAAAGGGAAACCAATTAACACAGACACAGAAGATA